GTACAAGAAATTACTGGGATGCCCCTGATTAGTGATGGGACACCCAGATGACTTAAATCATTAAACAGGATTAGGCCCATTAACACAAGCCCAGTTACAAGATAAGTTAAACATAAGAATGGGCTAATAAGAACTCTTATCAGCCGAACATCACTCTAACATTCTAACAAAAACTACTAGGCTGAGGTATTCGGCCACTTCTTTCAGCACGAAAAAAAATATTTATTTTCTGTTCACACCACTACTGACAACCCAGAAATATTAGTCACCATTACAGCACCACAACAACTCAAGCAACCACACACAAACCCTCTTGAAATTGTTCAGTAGAGGGTAAACACCACAAACACCACCACATGACTAGGGCTGTCACACATGGTGACAGCAGTATTAGACTGATATCCTAGGGCTGCCGCACCTTCCTAACACTTGTAATAGGGATTGCGGCAGTCCCAAAAAAAATAAATAAACAGGTGCCGCACTTATCAGATTCGCAGCTCAGAGAAGAAGAAAAAAGGAGAGAGAACTTGAAGTCGCAGGCTTCTTCTCCTTCGTTTATGGCTCTGGTTCCATGTTTTAACAGCTGTGTTTCAGCAGTTCAAACCAGTAGAGAAAGAAGAAGAAGAAGAAGAAGAAGAAGAAGAAGAAGAAGAAGAAGAAGAAGAGTTGAACCTGATAGCCAAACCCTATCAGTCAACCATAATGTAGATTAGTCTCTAATTAGCTGTACAATGATTAAACTGCCCCCACTTAAGTATGGGACAGGAAGTCTATATTAGAACTGCCACATAAACACATAACTTAACTGAATAAAATGACTAATCTACCCTTATTTGGCTAGCTCTAATAGTAACTAAAAAAAAGCCAAGTACCCTACCAGTCTTTGCATGTTACACAAGCAATTGATTCTTCTTTTACATCACTGCAGCAGCATGCACAAAAAGCTTTCTCTTCACAATTCTTTGAATTTCCATAAATGTACAGAGATCCATCCAGTGTATGCTTGATCTGCAGAGTAATAAAATTACCTATCAAAGGATCTCTGGAGAAGTAATAAATGTTATGTTTCTTTTCTTGAACAAGAATAGCATATCAAGGCTACAAAGTACATTAAAGATAAGTTAAACCCGCACCTTAATAAGAGCATTTAGCAATGGATTTACACCATAAACTAAAGGTCCAATGATGTTCTTGCAACGAAGAAACCAATTTTCAACTTTGTTGATTTCAGATGCCACCAGATCTAGTTCTGGACAACTAAAGGCATTGGACTCCCCAAGTTCCTGAAATGGAATGATACAATTATGTATAGCCAACTTAAGGAACTGACTTCTCCATATCATAACCTAATTTGCTATCATAAAAGTATTTTGAATTTGCTAAATATATGGCATATCATGCAGATGCAGGGATTTCAAGAAACATAGTTAGCTCTGTTGTCTACAAGTTAAAACTGCTATTGAAGTTGCAGCTCCACAGTTGTGCCCAGACTTCAAGATGATCCAATAAAATTTGATCCATCAGCATGCAAAGCCATTGGGCTTCACAAACGTACATCCAACACCCATCTCTCCAAGTGGATCTACATCCATTAAACACTCCTCAGTCACTTTTGAAGATGAAAGACGTCTCAGATAATAAAATTATTAGAAAACTTCCTCCACATGTATTTCTGGTTGCTGGTTTGTTCCTACAGCCAACCAACCTTATAACTCATCTAGAGTTGGCTGACTGCCTTCAATCCATCCAATCAAGCAGCTCTGTAGAAAAGTTTCTCTCTCTGCTACTCCCTCTTCAAAAACCACTACTCTGTTGCCTGCTCCTGCCACCTGTACAGCTGCTTGACAACAGTCATTGATCCCACAGACCACTGTTGGGTTCACCACTGGTATCTTATCTAGTGATGACTTGAACAGTGTTCACAAAACAACTTCTTCCAATAACCTCTTTTATATTTAATGCATTGCCATTGAAGAAGAAATCTTTATGACTTAAAAAACAAATAATTTCTAAGAGGTATTTTAAGGCAAAGAAGCATGGATGATTATCAATAGAAAAGATGAAGGATCTTTAACCCATGACATAAGAAATCAAATTTAACCAGGCACAGCACACGTCGCATTACCTTGAGTTGTACTAATACAGACCAAGACTGTTCCCCAAATTTAGAGTTGAAAAATGCATGCACCTGCTCCTGCCAGGACCTGTGTTTGCAGTATCAATGCGATAAATAACAACAGAAAGCATTTGGTAGTTGGATGAAATCAGACTATAACACAAAGTAAGCACCACAAGAATTAAATGTAAAGATTAGGAAATTATAAAAATATCCCAATATTCCATATTTTATAATTTAATTATTTTATCAAACTGAACATTTTAAAGAAAATTTGCTTCTCATTTCAACTAAGCCGTGTCACACCATATGAGGTCAGTTACATGAATCTTGTTCTGCCATTCCACTCAGTTTAGTGCCATATCCAATATTATGGCTGTACAGGATCCTATGTTTATAATTTAATCATTGGTTCATATAGTGGAAAACAATTTGAGGGTTTACAATTTAATAATCAATAGAGAGAGATGGAGGGTGTCACCCATAGAATTAGAGCAGGATGGAGTATGTGAAAACAGGAACTATGTGAGTTGAGTAAAATAACAAATAAGTAGACAGATTGCATTTGATGCAAATGTCCAAATGTAAGAGAGAGCCTCAGAGCAACCTCAAGCAAAAAAAATAAAATGTCTTCCAGTATTTTAGCTTTATACCATTGAGCTTTGACGTTTGAGTTCAGTTAAATAACAATTAATCAGACAGATTGCATTTGATGTGAATCTCCAAATAAAAGAGAGCCTCAAAGCAGCCTCAAGCAAAAAAAATAATGAAGCTCTCATCCTTGGAGTGGTTATTAACTTATTATCATGCGGGCTAAGGTGGCATGCTTCGGTGAAGCTCTCATCCTTGGAGTGGTCAGTGGAGAGTGGAAGGAACTCCAAAGTGATCATCTAGACACAATACAAAGGAGAGGGCCCTTGTTCTCTTCAATACCACATTGGAGAACGTATATTTTTTTAATAGCTCTTTCAAGTTGGTCACAAGGTCAGATAAACAGAACTGTTGATATTCATGCTAGATAAGCAGTAAACAGGGAAGACCTGCATTAGGGGACAGACATGTTGTAGCAATAACCGAAAAAGGGATGATTCAAAGATAAGCTGATGGGTTGAAATTGCGTTTCTCTTTTTATCAGTAACAAAAACCTTATTAAATAATACATTAAACCACAATTGCTAGATAAGCAATTCTGTTTCTTCTTTTATCCTGTGTTTCTTCATGTTTTAAAAAGTACATACAATATGTCAATATCTTTTGACAAGCAAAAAAGTTTTTGTGGCAAAAATGGTTGAAGTAAACCATATAAAAAATGCTATAGCTACCAATTAAATAATACTTCGTTAGAAAAATGGAAAATACAAATTACTCAAGAAACAAAAACATAAGAAAAGGAAGATAATTGCATCAAACCACTAGAGAACTCACTTGTGCTTCTCAATGGCATTTACTAGTCGAGCAGCCACGATAGGAAAAGGGACTTCAATCCTCTGTAATTTGCAGGTATCCATGCATAAATAATCTAAAACAGCATGAACAATAACCATATCCTGTACAATCTACTGTTTCCTTGGCAACTAAAATAAATAAACAAATAAGCCAAAGATATAATGAATACCTGAGTTTCTTCCAGAACTTCTTCAACATCACTCAATTTACATCTTCTCTGAGTAGAAGAGTGAGGAAAAACAGACAATGCTTCCCAAAGCCATCTAGCACCTTTTATCAATACACTCCCAAGACAGCTAGAGGCAAATGTTGCACAAAGGTTTTCTGAGTCCTTCATCAACCTCTCAACATCCTGTGAGACCAAATAGTGTAGTAGATATGTTATAGGCCATACCTTTCATAGCAAAACCACTGTTTTAAAACACGGAGGCATGATGTGAGGCGTTCCACTACCTAGAGGCGTGAGGCGTAATTCAGAACGCAAGAGGCATAAGCCTCCTAAACATAAGGAGGCTTAAGCCTCCTTAAGAGGAGGATGAAAAGGAAGGGGGGATCTCATTTTTTCTTTATTTTTAATAAAAATCTTTTATATTAAGAAGAATAAAGATGCATAACAGTAGTTCAAAGGGGGGGTACGCCTTCCCTTACTTTTCTTTCCTTTTCTCTTTTTTTCTTCTCTTTCCTTTCCTTTTCTTTCCCTTTCTTTTCTTTTCCTTTCCTTTCCTTTCCTTTCCTTTTTTTCTTTTTTCTTTTTTTTCTGTATTTTCATATCAGATGTGCATGAGGCGCAAGAGGCGTACGCCTCTAGCACACCTCATGAGAAAAGCGCAAGAGGCGCCTCGGAGGTGTCAGCGCCTCTGGCATACACCTCAGGGCGTTTCGGAAGCACCTCGCCTGGGCCTCCAGGCGTATGCCTCCCACACCTTTTAAAACACTGAGCAAAACTAAAAATATGAAGTAACTGGAAGGGGAAAAAAGTAGCTGAAAAAGATTCAAGAATCACATCATTATGTTAAAATCTGTTGCAAGCCAAGAGATTGGAATCACAAGTTCACAATGCACACATGCCAACAAACAAGCAAAAAGGATGTTAAGTTGATGCCAGTTCAGCACTTGATAGTATTCACTGATAAGTACATGCTTTGTAAAACTCCCAGGCTAAACATACACCTCACAAAGAAATAGCAACTCAACACAAAATTTGTGAAATCAACACCATGTCACTCAGCACAGGAGTAAATGTTTGATGACTAATGAGAGGAGACATATTACTCAGCAGATTTCACATAGATGAAAACTGTCAAGATGTGGAAGCAACGAATGGGAGAACATATGGCACGTGATGAGTAATAAAGTGTGGGATCAAGACCAAATGTTCTCTAAGTTATAATTCCATTTGATCTACTTTCATCCTCAGCTATGTGAAAACATGTAGAAAAATCATGAATTTTGTACAGTTAGGCAATTACTAATCCCTGATCCCACAATCACACACTTCCCTCAAGATTTTAGCAAGTTGTGCCAATCTAAGGGCCAGATAGAGGCCTACGAAAATCATTATTTCAAAGCCTCTTACTTTGCATTCAATAAGTTGTTGATATTTATTCAGAAGCCCTTGGATTAGGTTTAGAAATTAAGCTCTTGTATGTAGATGTTAGCAAAGTATTGTAAGAAAACCTTTTTCTTCATTATCTATTGTTTAAATCTCATTGAGGATTCAAAAATGAACGACACAGATCTGGGAATTGATGAGCATTGCGTGGCATCAGTGTAAGTAGTTGGAGGTTATAACAGAGCGATCATGGAAGATGAAAGGTTTATCCACTAATGCTTGGTCAGAAGCATTCCTTTTCATGTTTTAGTCGGAAGCATTCGATGTCCTTCGTCAGTGATGGAGGATTTTCAATTTCAATGGCTGTAAACTCTATCTAAAGAAGTGGACTCTGTTCATATGTGCTGTTCAGTCTCCAAAGGGATATGGTGATGGTGGGTGAGAATCTCCAGGATTCCAATGTATACTACTTAGTATTGAGCAACTTCAAGAAGATTGGCAATAAATTGGGTGGCATTATTGAAGCATGTGAGAACTAAGAATAGAGATTGGTGGACTCCGTGTGAGTCTTGGGTTGATTACGTTAGACCAATCAAGTTTTGGGCCCATTCACAAGCTGAGTGATTAGAGATCTGTTGTTGTATAGGACCCTCACCCAAGACAATGTCTAGGTGTATGTAAGCAATAATGCGCAAGTAGCAGGGTAAAAATATTCATTCAACACCAAACTGCACACAAAGTATAAAGCAAAACTAAGTGTACAACATTGGGCCTCACAAGAGAAGCTTCACCACAAATAACATCAGAAACAAAACCAAATGACAGCAACTGATTACATATTACAAATTAGCACCCAGTCCTGGGCATCCCCAATAGGTTTTCCAAGGTATTTGACATTGCCTTATCATCCAACAAAAAACCACTTGACAGTTACCCTCTACTTCCACATTCCATAAATCCTGCCTAGCCAACAACTTAAAATCCTGAACCAAGGCCAGAAGTTCAGCTCTTGAAGAATTCCCCCCACTCCTCAGCAGTGTTTTAAAAGCACAAGGGCCATTTTGCGCCCAAGGCACAAGTCACAGGTCAAGGTGCGCAACTTTTTGAAGCAAGGCGCAAAAATAAATAAATAAATAAATAAAAATTTCAAAAATGTGAAAAAAAATCAAAAAGATAAGCAAAATATTAATAACATTAAACACGTTATTAATTTAAAAATATAAAAAACTTAAATTTTAAAATAAATGCTTTAAAAAACCTATTATCTGAAATTAAAATCAATAAACATAACATGTAAAAGATATTTAAAATGAAAACTTAACAATAAAATCAAGCATAACATATAAAACATATTCAAGCATGTAAACTCTTAATCTCTTTATCTTTTTCCCCAATTTCATTACTTCAAATAACTAATGCAATGTTAAACATGCATTCCTGATTCTACAAGCCACCTTTGTACTAAGCCCCTTGAGGCAAGCCAAAAAAAGTCCATATCAAGTTCTTAAATTGTTAATCCCTATAAAAAAACGTTTTATAACTTTAAGTGTCTTTTAAAAATATCTTTTATTATGATAAATGAATGAGCAACATTAGAAAAAATGCACAGATTTTCAAAAGAAGCAAGCTGGGTTGAACTACAAGGCGCACCAGGCGCGCACCTTTTGAAAATGCTACACCTGGAACCTGCACAAGGTGCATACCCTAAAATGTGTCTTGCCTGTGTGCCTACGCACACCTGAGGTATGCCTTTAAAATCACTACTCTTGTGGGCCTCAGATTTCCAAGGCTACAACCGTCAAAGTTGAGCTTGAGCGTCTGTAAATCAGGAGGGGACCGATCAACTGTCCTATGTTGTCTTGTAACCTGAAACCCCATCACCACCTGCCACTCCCTAAGCAAATCATTGCTACAAATCACAGCCCAATGAGCTATCCTTACTTTTGTAAGTTCAAACATTTCCTCCACTTGTTTGCACTTTTCTTCAAAAATCCTTGCATTTCTTTCACACTATAAACCCCAAAGCACTGCTCTGCAAATGCATTGCCAAGCAATTTTTTGTCTGTGTAGGGCTTCCAAAAACATCTGTTTTAAATAGGTCTACTACTGCACCTGGCACCACCCAAGTTTTTCTGGACAACAGGAAGAAAAGTTGCCACAAACTAGAAGCATTGGAACAATGTTTTTTTTTTTTTTTTGAGAATATAGCATAGGAACAATTTAATAGTAGACAGTTACTATTTTCCACACTCTTCAAGCAAAGAACACACACATGAGGAGAGAGAGCTCAGTGTTTCCATTTCCTTTGGAGACCAATGTTTCCAACAAAAAAATACTTTACTTTAGGGGGAACCGGACTACACCATACCTCCTTAACCAGGAAAGGTTGAGATTCTGTAAGAGGATATAAGGATTTAAAAAAGGAGACACACGTAAAATAGTCACTGGTATTTGGCATTTCCCTATACCATGCTAGTGTTTTAAAAGCGTAAGGTGCAGCCGCAAAAAATAAAAAATAAAAAATAAAGCACAAGGGCCATTTTGCACCTAAGTCGAAAGGCAATGCACACGCCTTTTTGAAAAAAGGCATAAAAAATGCAAAATAAAAAATCTAAAAAATTTAAGAAAAAAATCAAAAATGCCAAAAAATCAAATAAAATGCAAAAAATTTAAAAAATGCAAATTATTAAAATATTAAAAAATATTAAATAAAAATATAAACTTAAATTTTAAAATAAATGCTTTAAAAAAAGCTATTATCTCAAATTAAAATACATAAACATAACATGTAAAGCATATTTAAAATGAAAATTTAAAAATAATATCAAGCATAACATATAAAACATATTCAAGCATGTAAACTCTTAATCTCTACATTTTTTCCCAATTGCATTACTTGAAATAGCTAATATGATCTTAAACACTATGCATTCTTTATTCTACGAGTTGCCTTTGTACCAAGCCCCTTGAGGAAATCCCAAGCAAATCTCCCCATATTTGCTAATGTTGCTCATTCATTCATCCTTACAGTGATAAAAACTTTCTTTTTTATGGGGACTAAGAATTTAAAACCCTAAAGTGGATTTGTTTGGGTTTGCCTCAAGGGACTTGATCGGGGGTCCAGGGGCAGAGCCCCAACCCAACTGCAAAACACAAAAAAAAAAAAAAACAGAAAAAAATGCACAGATTTTCAAAAGGTGCACGCTTGGGCTGAAGCGCAAGGCACACCAAGCAAGCGCCTTTAGAAAATACTCCACCTAGGGTCTAGGCGAGGCGCATACCCTAAAATGCGCCTAGGTGTGCCTTTTAAATCACTGCACCATGCATTGGTGTTTTCTGTTTTGGGGATGTACAAATTTTAAGTGAAATGTAGCTAAATCATATAATGTTATATAGACAAGGGTAAAAGGGCGTAAAAGGGCATCATAATAAATCAGTTTTCAATGTAGAGAATCCATAAAATGTGTTGAGGGATAACAAAACAGTAGTGGAAAGAAACATATTCACTATGGAAGGGATATCACTAGTACCCTTCATCATGGTACTTGTCACAAAAGAACCTCTTCTACTTCTCTCTCATTTTTGTAGACAAAATAGAGCATCATTTTTCTTTATGCCAAATCAGTGGATCTACACCTTCATTTCTTTTTTTTTTTTTCTATTCTCCCTAATCACTTCTCTTTGTCTTTCCAACTGGGGCATGCCCCCTATTGAGAACTTAAGAAGAATTCCAACAACTCTTTCATGAAAGCATATCAAAGACAAAAAGAAGAAAAAGCTTTTTGAAGCAGTCACTTGGTGAAGCTTCTTCAAATTGATTTCAGACAAATCAGTTCAAAGAGGTGTGATTCCAGGATTGGTCTATTTTGTCACCCAAGGTTGAATATAGAGAGGCTACAGGAAAAGTGCTGGCAGGTTAGGTTTCACTTATGTTGTTTTCCACTTCAACACAGAGGGCAATGGGTGTCAGCATAGAGACAAACTAGGTTGCACACTTCAAGGAACACATAGGAGAGGTGGATGAAGAGGGCGTTTCTTCAATGACAAGTTTATAAAACAAGACCCACTTCAAAGTTGGGGAAGTAGGATGATGGCTGCAAATTGCAGTGCTGTAGACCCAAAGGAGAAAGTTGAATAAAATACAGAGTTCACGGAAGGCTCAGGAAATGAAGAGAATTTTGTTAAAATATATGGAGTTCATTAACAAGAATGTACCTCGTTCACAAGAAGATAAGATATCAGAGGATAGACAAAGACCAAGTTCACAAGAAAACAAGATATCAGAAGCATCTCCTACCCCCACCCCTGGCCCCCTAAAGTATAAAAAATGGTATGCATGTCATGCAACTCCTTACCTCAAGCAAAGGGGCACCTGAACAGAAAGAGAAAGCCTTCAAGCACCATTGCAATATGCAAGAAGTATTTTGAAGTTTTGGAATCTCATAAAAGTCAAAGCCTAAGGACAAGCCAGCTGTCGTTGCAGATTTAATTCCAGTAAGCAGCTTTTCAATTTTGACAGTGAGATCATTGACAACTCCAATGTCAATATTCTGTGTGCTATATAAAGCTGTAGTACATTCTAGGAGAGTACAAGCATCATTCTGCCATGCCTCACAATCGTTCAAAAGGTTCAGAAGCATTGCTGGTTCTTGCAAATCTACCTTCAAGAATTTTGACTGAGCAACCAAATCCTGCAAAATATATAGTATATGTTTATACCATGTCCAATCTATTATAGCTTAGTAACTTCATTTAGAGAACTAAAAACCTTCAAAGCATCAACTTTCAGAGAAGAACTTGAAGCCTGTCCAGCAGAAAGGCTTGACAAGAGAAATGGCTGAGAATTCGATATCCAGGACTTGGCCATTGATAATGCATGCTCAATATCATTTAGAGAAGGAAGAATTGCAAATATAGTCCCTGATATCCTGAAATAGAACACAAATGATTAACAGAAGTAAAGAACATCAGTCACAAAACAAAATAGCATTAAATTGGAAGAACATCAGTCCAAAACCTTATGGCATCCTCGAACTCAGACATCTGGGCCTTGCTCCCAAGAATATGTTTAGACCTTTCTTCCCAAGAACTAGCTGCTGCAAGCACTCTGGATACATCAACAAATATGTTCTCATTGTCAATCTGCAGCCTGCAAAATAAGTCATATTCAAATATCAGGACCATTGGAGCAATGTGAAGACCATAAGTTACCCTGAATTATTGAGAGAAGGAAAAGAGCTACATACATAACAGCCTCCGCAATTACTTCCTCAATGAAGTCCAAAGGCATTTTAGTGGCACATGCCTGCATCAATATTTTGTGTTATAAGTGACACTCAATCATCCAAATTGCAAGAAGTTCTACAAGTGCACATTTATTTTCTTATATCCAGCATTAAAACTTGAAAGGTGTTTCAAAGTTACTCATAAATAAACATATCTATTATTGAGAAATTTCAATGTAACCATTACATATAGTGTGTTTAGATGAAGAGTTAGAGAATTGTCTTAGGTTTAGTACATCTCTTTGGCAATTGGATACAAAAAGAGAGGATATGAGCAGTAAGTATAGCATCATAAAGGAACCAAGCTTTGCGAAGCCACTCGGCTCACACTCACAATGAGTTTAAGGTGATGATATCAATCTTGGCTTGGCTAGCATAACTCAATCTTTTAATATTAAGCTTTCAAACCCAAATATAAAAACCCACACTCTGAGGACCATAGCACAAAAGAAGAAAATGGGAACAAATTTTAAGGTTAACATATACTTTCTTTGATGACAACCTAGGCAACATCTAGCCGAGTCATTGACAAGTAGAGTAACATCCCTACCAGCCTTCAAAACTTCTTCATATATTTCACAAGTTATCCATCACCAAGTCTATGATTAGCATCAATGGGAGTATCCGCTAGTTTCCCTAGCTTACTAGTATCTTGCAAGAGATCTGGATGTATTTCTGTTGAGAAATGAAGATACATTTTTGTGAAAGGGCAACTTCAATCCCAAGAAAATAACATAGGGTTTTGGATCCTTAAGAGGTGTGGCAAGAAACACTTTTACTTTCTGATTCTCAAAGTCCCAATTCCCTATAATAATTGTATCATAACATACACTATCAAGACCACAATCTTCTCCAAATCCCTCTTAACAAAAAGGGTATGATCTGACTGACATTGCTTGAACCCCCTCTGTTTAACAGCCAAATGGAACCTATTTAACCTGGCTCTAGGTGACTATTTTAATTCATAGAGATTTCTTTAACCTGCACAAATTGCCTCCATTTCCCTTTGCTTGGAATCCAGGGGCTGAACCATATACACTTCATCTTTCAAATCCCCGTTCAAAGAAGCATTTTTTATGTACTGTTGGAGCTCCCAATCTAAGTTAGCAGCTAATGATAGTAGAATCTGGATGGAGTTCATTTTGGCAATTGGAGCAAATGTCGTTACATAATCAACACCATACACCCATGCATACCCTTCTACTACTAACCCAGCCTTGTATCTCTCCACTATTCTATCAGCTTTGTGTTTCACCGTAAACAACCATTTACACGCCATCAATTCCTTGCCTTCAGGAAGATCCACCAACTCCTATGTATTATTTTTGTGGAGAGCACCAATTTCTTCTTTCATTGTGTTTGTCTATTTAGGGATTGTTAAAGCTTCTACAACACTCCTTGGGATAGAAATACTATCAATGGCAGACAAGAAAACAAGGAAAGAAGATGAAAAGAATTTATAGGACAAGAAGTGGAGGCAATGGGGTTAGTAGTACATGACCTGACACTCTATATGCAATAGGAATGTCAGGATCATCAATAGAATCATCATTAGCAATAGGATTAGGAATATCAATAGGAACGAGACTACTTGGCTAGGAAGGATTTGCATTAAGAGGATCCAATGATATTGATTGCACAGTTTTAGGTTACTCCACACTCTTTGAACTCTACCGATACAATGCCTCAAGAACACATGAAAGGGAGTAGGATCTAGGAAAGAAGTTGGACTTGTCGAACCTGCCTCTCCATACTATCCCCCCCACCCCACCCCAGAGGAGAGGTAGGAAAGAAGGGATTAGATTCAAAGGACATATCCATAGACACAAAATGTTTGTGTGAAACATGATCAAAACATTTATATCCCTTCTTGAAAGAAGAGTACCGAAGAAAGGCACAAGGAATAGCTTTGGGACCTAACTTACCACAAGTGGGAGGCACGTCATCAACAAAGCAACAACAACTAAAAATATGCAAGGGAATAGAAAACAAGGAAGATAGGGAAAAAAGGCTGATGTGGGGCCTTGTACTGCAACATCCAAGATGGCATACAATTAATAACATAAGCAACTGTTAATAGAGCATCTATCCAAAAACACTTGGGACATTCATATGCAACATCAAACCACGAGTAACTTCAAAAAGATGGTTCTTCATTCTACAACACCATTTTATCGTGGTGTTCTAGAACAAGAGCTTCAATGGACAGATCCATAAGAGGCAAAGAATTCATTAAGACCACCATGGAAGTACTCTTTACCATTGTCTGATAGAAAGATCTGAATCTCAACATGAGAATAAGTGAAAATCATGCGCTGAAAGTCCCTCGCAATTTTGGGTACTTTCTCTAGAGTGCATAGGATATATCCACATATACCTAGAATAATCAACAACGAAATTAATAAAGTATTTGTAGCCACACTCAGTGGGCAAAATTGTAGGTCCCTAAATATCAAAATGCACAATGTGCAAAGGAAATTGATCTTTTATAATTGAAGGGAAAGTTGTTCTACGATGCTTACCCAATTGACATGTTTGACACTATAAATTTGAAATAGAAACAAAGTTAAACAGCTCAGGAAACAAGACTTTAAAGAACTCAAAAGATAAATGACCAAGGTGATTATGCCAAAAGTAAACCTGACTCTCATTTAACTAATTCAACAGACTCATAGACTCAAACACTGCAAAACGAGCTTTATTCTCCAAAGTGTAAAGACCATCGACCCTACTTACTCCACCAATCATCCCCCCGAAGGTCAAATCCTAGAAAACACAAGAACAAAGAAAAGAGGTCACACAACAATTTAAAGATTGAGCAATACTGCTAATGGACAACAAATTAATAGGAAGTTTAGGAACATGAAGGGCATTAGAAAGTACAAGACCATGAAGAAGGGATACAAACCCTTGACTGGCAACAAGGAAGAAGGATCCATCTATCAAACTCATTTTATCCCTACTAGGGAAAAATTTATAAGACAAAAAAATTAGAATTACTGGTCATGTTAAAAACATAGATCCTAGGGTAGTTCCCTAGGTACCATAACCATAATTCTTAAATAATTATTCATGATTTTCATAAGAAAAGTATAAACTTCATATTAAAGTATAGAAAATCAAAATATTCATGAGAAGAAAAGGAAGAAGGAAAATAATATTCAAAAAATATAGGGGCTGAACCCTTATTTTTGTTATAGGAAAAGAAGAAAATAAAAAGTATTGGTAGTAGTAGTAGTAGTAGAAGAAGAAGAAGTAGAAGAAGAATATATGGCAGAGGAAAATGTGCTGATTAGATAAAATTTTTAGTTCTTCCTTATTGGTTCAGGTTTTTTAGTCTTTGAGGATTCAATACAGCATTTAGCAATGTTTGTGTTGATTAGACCCTAAAAAATAAGAAAATAATAAAAGAAATCAGTATATAAACACACAAAATGATTATTGTAGTTTAATATTGTCTATTTTATAATTATAATCTCAAAAGAGAATGAATAAAAAAAGTATTTAATAGTAGTAAGTAGAAAACTGTTAGGCGATTAGGCTAGGCGAGGCGAGCCTCAAAGGGCGCCTTGTTGCCTAGGTGTCGCCTTGACAACTATGCCTATTAAGACTTCCTTGAGAAGAAGTAACACTAGGAGATGCTAAATCCACAATAGACATTAGACAAGTAACCACACTGCTATTTTCCAAGAAAAGAAGGGCCCCAACCACAACAAGAGAACAGAACCAAGCTGTAACAGAAGAAAACTGAACCAAAAAACTGTCACGGGACAAGCTAAAGGAAAGGACAGCAGCTCTCCAGTCAAACTTCGCCAAACAGATCCAAAAAGGTAAATTTTCAACGCATTCAGCCGTAAAAGAGGATTGTAAGCCCTAGCCAAATTGAAAAGAACCCTTAAATTTCATGAAAAAGGTATGATCCACACAAAACCTCAAACTGTAACATCCAATGCTCACTCCACACTCTTAGCATGAATGGAACAGTACATACCTGAAGAAAAGATCCACTGTTACATTACAGGAAGGTACACACGCCCACATAAAAGGTTTCACAGCATTCAGTTGTCACCACAAATACCACAGGTAACTTTTCTTTTTTTTTTGATTAATAACACTTTCATTAACTCATCAAAAGAAGATTTACAATAGGAAGACAAACACACTTATCATCCAAGAGCAACAAAGAACCTCAAGAAAAGAAAAAAATAAAGAAAACACACTATAGTTACAGCTTAGTCCAAAAAAGTGAATCCCTTTCTGCCCCTTGTTTAGCTAAACCGTCCGCTAGGGAATTAGCCGATCTTTTAACCCAAGTATCTTAACTTCCATCTCCCGCACCAGCCACTTGAATTTCCTCCTCTCATTATTGTACTTCCATAAGCCATTGTGATCTTTAATCAGCCACCCTATCACCACCTCTGAATCCCCTTCAATTAAGAGTTTCTTGATGTTCAACTCCTTAGCTTTCTGTACTCCTTCCATAACTGCAAAGATCTCAGCTCTAAGGGAGTCACCCACTCCAATTGGGCCAGAGAACATAGCAGAAATGACCCCATTTCCATCCCTAAAAACACCCCCAATCCCCGATTGTACCGGATTTCCCCTGCTACACCCATCAAAGTTTAGTTTCACAAATCCACTAGGTGGAGGGGTCCAAACCACACTCATTACTGACTTAGATCATTCCCCTGCTCCACCAGGTAACTTTTCTTGGTACTACAACCAAGAAAGAGTGAAAGGAAATCAGAAAAAGGTGATCAGATCAGGACGACTATAGATTCTACCCTTTCCAGTCAAAAAAGGTAAGCTCCAAATAAGAAAGCAAAATCTAAATGCATCTAGGGCCTAATTTTAAGGTAGCCCCCCTCCATCTGGAGTAAATTTTGGGGTTAAAAAAATGCTTCTAGGGCCTAGAATAGCACTCTGATACCATATTATTCAAGTAGAAATAAGAAGAAAATAGAGGAGAAGAGAAGGGAGAGGAAGAAAGGAAGAGAGGAGAAGAGAAAGTGATTGAAGGCTTCAAAAAATTGGGCTGGCGGCACCCAGTCTTCTGCAAAAGTGGCCTTGTGGCACATGTTAACAGATTAACAACAGTAATAAATAAGGATTGCTTTCTTGAATGCTGTTTTGTATGTAGAGGGGATATACCAAAAAACAATACAGACTATACTGCATAGCATCCTTTTTGTAAAACTGCACTTTTAGTATTAATAACATTTTTTCTTAAATATCAAAAGAAGAAATTGTACGAAGTACAAAGGTGAACAACAAAACAAAATGTGACAGAAGATGATCATCTTTAAAATCTAAAATTGTTCAGTAAGCACATAAATCTAAAAAAAGAATGCAGTTAAATTCAGTTACCTGTAGAGCTTTTTCTCTGCAGCACGCCTTCTTTAGTTCTTCCTCAACAAAGGGCAATTCATCTACTGTTTGAGACAATAGAACAAGCTTCAGCACATATTAAAAGAATAATATTCCACCAACTGCTTAAATCAAATAGAACTAACACAAAAAGAAACCCATAGGATCATAAAGCCAAACCTTGCACCCTCAATAACTTTCCAGCCTCCAAAATGCAAGTTAGCTCTTGAACGACACACTTCTGGTCCTCCCTACCCCGGGCGTTCACTATAAAATCGTGAAAATGAGAAATCCAGGTCACAGCATCATTGTGATATTGTCTTAGAAGCTTCAACTCTGGAACACAGATGCTGAAGTGATTAAGTTCTTGCAAAAGGACTTCAAGTTCCTGCACATATGAGCACATATGAATAGTTAGATTATTTATGGCCTCCCATGGATATGAAAATTCAACTCAAGTAGAAACTAATATAGGAAATAAATTGTAGCAGATTTTTTTAGCTCAGTTGATTTGTTTCTTTTAGGGGGTCGCACCTAATGTCCCTGTTGGGATGATTGTCTTGTAAAATATTGATGTAATACATTCTCATTCTTAATTGTTAGAGTCAGCTGTAAAGGGGTAGTTTGGTCGTTTTGTTTTATATTAAGAGTGTGGTGTAATGTCCTTTATATTGTGCTTTAAGTGGTCTCCCATACTTAATTAGGGGCATAACTGTCTTTGTGATTTTAATTAGAAACATATAAATAATATCTGGTCAACTAGAGAGAGAACTTTTCTCTCTAGTTTGAACCAGTCTTTTTCTCCTACTTCTCTTCTCTTCTTTATCTCTTAACTTTCTTCTCTGCACTTTTTCTCTGTTATTCTAGGGCTGAAACCAGTACAGATCCGAATTGTAACATGGTATCAGAGCAACTGTAATCAGTTCAAATCTGCCCAGAATTTTTTAATCACCCTTTACCCTAGTTTTCTGCAGATATCTCATTGATGCCTCAAGTTGAGTGATTGTTTTCTTCTTCTGGAGGTTTTCATGCCTCAAGTTGGTGGCGCAGTGATTGTTTCAGGTGGTTGGTAGAAAACCTTCTAATCGATGGACCAAAGAGGGCTGTTTCAGGTAGAAGACAGATTAGTGCAGGACTGATTGGTCACAGACCTAGTGGTATGTGTGTGGGGTGTATCCATGTGGTTTGTGGTGTTGAAAGTGTAGGACAGCAATGTCTATTATTGCTGAAAACTGTGACAACAGATGTTTTCAGCAATAACCAGCCATTAGTGTGCAATGTCGTGGCTAGGAAGCGAGGTGGTGTGACATACTAGTGAGTGGAAATTTTCTTTTTACCCTGGCATCTATGGGAGACAGCAGTGAACACAAATCTAGTGTTTTGATTCCCCTAATTACCTGAATGTGCAGATGATTTCTATTAAACTGAATTGTGAGAATTATGTGCCTTGGTCCAAGTTTGTAGAAGTTTTTCTTAGGCTTAAGAAGAAGGTGAAGCATGTGAAAGAAGAAAAACCCTCAGTTGATTCTCAGGGGTACAGTGTGGGAACAAAAAGATGCACAGATAATGACATGGTTATGGAATAGCATGGAACCCAAGATTAGTGTGAACATTATGTTCTTAGATATAGAGAAGGAGATTTGGGACCATGCAAATATTATGCTACCACAATATACCAGCTTTACCAAGAGCATTTTAATCTGCAATAAGGTAATTAAAGTCTTGAGAAGCATTATGCCAACATGAGGAATCTTCGGAATGAGTTGAATGTTTATCAGCCCCTTACATCTGATGTCAAAATTCAGCAACAACAAAGAGAGCAACTTGGTGTAACCAGGTTCTTAGTAGAGTTGAAGTCTGAATATGAACCGGTGAGAGCACAAATACTAGGTTGTTCAGCCCTTCCCTCTCTGATAGGTCTGCTTTTATAGTGACAAAAGGGGGGAAGAGTTGTAGAGGTACAGAAGGAGCTCAGGGCGTTCAGCTAGGTCGTGGTGGTGGCAGTGCCCCCATGTTCAATCACGGTCGTGGGTATATTAGAGGTCGGGATTCAGGGAGAGTTCGTGGTAGAGGGCGTAGTAATGGTCCGAGTAAGTGTAAATAGTGTGAAATGAAGGGACACAATGTCAGTTTTTGTTATGATCTACATGGACCACCCTCAACTTGGGAAAATCATGTGGTCGCTAGTGGTGGTGGTGGTACGAGAGATGAAATTCAGCAAGTTGATCAAACACCTTCTACATCTATGGATGCCTCCGAGAAAGAAATGATGAGTGTTCCACATGATGAATATGAGTGATTACTCTGGCATCCAAACCATTCCATTAGATTATCGACTCTAGATGTTCCGATCGTATGACTAAAACTCCAAGTGTGTTTTCTTCTCTTTCTCAATCTTGTGCATCACACTGTTACTCTTGCTAATGGACCCACATCTTCTATCTATGATATTGGTAATGTTGACATAGATTCATTACCCATGTCTTCAGTTTTGTATGTTTTCAAATTCCCTTTTAACCTTATCTTTGTTAGTAAATTGATCAAGTCTCTTAATTGCTCTATCACCTTTTACCCTTCTTGTGTTTTTTAGGATCTCAATACAGGGATGAAGATTGATCGAGGGCATGAAGTTAGTGGACTATATTAACTTGATGGTGGTAGTTCATCAACATCTCTTTAGTTGTCCCTTAAGGCACTTAAGTTACTTGTTCCGTCAATGAATCGCCTTTCTACTTTGGAATGTGAGTCATGTCAATATGGGAAACACCATCATTTTCCCATTTAGTCCTAGGATTGAAAATTGTATGTCGAGTCCTTTTTCTTTGGTCCACTCGGACATTTGGGGTCCAAATAAAGTGGTGTCATACAATGGTCACAAGTATCTTGTAATTTTTGTTGATGATTATTCAAGGATGACACGGCCTTATCTTATGAAAGAAATGAGTGAACTGTTTTCTATTTTCTAAAAGTTCCAGGCTGAAATTCGCACTCAGTTTGGTATACACATTAAAATTCTCCGTTCCGATAATGGTTGAGAATATTTTTATACATCGTTTCAGCAATATTTGGAATAACATGGCATTATACATCAAACCTCATGTACTTACACCCCTCACCAAAATGGGGTGGCTAAGAGAAAGAACGGCCATCTCTTAGAGATGGCTCAGTCCCTTTTAAACCATATGTATGTACTCAAACGTTTTTACAGTGATGTTGTGCTTACATCTTGCTTCCTTATTAATTGGATGCCCATGTCTATCCTTGAAGGCCATTCTCCCTTCTCCGCTTTGTTCCCCACTGTCTCCTTACCCTCTCACTCCCATGGTTTATTGGATGTGTGTATATTGTTCATAATCTTGGGCCTAGAATGGACAAAATAGATGCACAATCTACTAAGTGTGTTTTCTTGGCTATTCTAGGACCTAGAAAGGGTATAAGTGTTATAATCCCAGTTCTAGACGTTCTTTTGTTTGTTCCAATGTTACGTTTTGATGTGGACAGAAAGACAAATTACATGCAGTACCTCAAATATACAGCAATAAGCACAAGAAATACCAAACTGAAAACCACAAAATATCTTGGACTTTTAGAGATTTCAGACATGAATCAGAAGTAAAACTCCTCCTGGAACAGTTCCGCTACAGTAACAATGGCAGCAAGCTGGCCTCCTGCGCGGACATGCAGTGATGGAGGGATTGGAAGGTGCCAAAATGGGTCGACTCCTCAAAACCCAAGCTCCCAATACTTGAAAACCCTAGCTGGGGCTGAGCTACAGCTCAAACAAGAGAGAAAGAACCAAAAAGACCCCTAGAAAAACAGCCCCCTTCTCTTTTATAAAACTCACTGGCATGCTGGACAAGCTAGTTAAAATATTTACACATAAGCCCCTAGAATGTTTGCCTCTCACCAACAACTCCTTAAGAACAAAACTAACTTCAAATGAACCCCTAAAAGATTACTTTTGTTACAAAAAGACCCAAGAGACCAAAACCCAACAGAAATGCACCCAACTGCCCTGACCAAAAATCTGACTTATAGAATGACAAAAATACCCCCTAGTCCCAAACTGTCAACAAAGCTACCCAAAAACAACAATTTGGGATCCTACTACAAGAAAAATATGCAAAACAGAATACAAAAACACATTTCTTTTTTTTTTCTTTTTTTCTTTTTTTTCTTGCCTCATCATTCCCGTCGGGTTAAAAAGAGCTCGACCCCATGCAAACAGCAATTTTAGCAACCTTGCACATGTTTCCATCTAGCTTCATAAACTCCTCTTCACTAATCCAAGAGTTCTCAATTGATGGTTTCCCTTCCCACTAGACTAAGAACCAAAAATAGGCCCCATTTCGAGTGTTGGTGACTCGGACATCTTCTACACCATCTACTTGTTCAAACTCATTAGAACTTCTAGCCCTTTGTGCTTGTCCTCGCCCATCCTTTATTGCTGGTTCGGGGTCCCCATGGTAATCAAAGAGATCTGCTATATTAAAAATGAGTGAAATGGACAAATCAGTTGGTAACTCAATTTCATATGCATTGTCACCAAACCATCTCAGCACTTGACATGGACCAATCCTTTTCTGCTTCAACTTATGGTAGGTCCCAACAGGAAACCTCTTGAATCTCTCGAATGGATTCAGCTAAAGCTTTGGCATCATCACTCACTCGCCACAACCCTGTTATAGGAGCTAGATCAACAACACTTTTAGGTGACCGACTGTACACCACCTCAAAAGGAGTCTTCCATGTAGATCTATTAACTGAATCATTGAAGGCAAATTCAGCTTGGGGTAGGATAAAATCCCATTGCTTTAAGTAGTCTCCAACTAGGCTCCTCAACAACTTGCCTAGGCTTCAGTTAACTACTTCAGTTTGTTGCAAGAAGACACTTGAAATGGTCTCCAAAAGGTACTTTTGGCCAAGGCTACAAAAAGGATGTGTTCTATTATGTTGATAGATGTCACAAGTGCCAAACTTGGCTTGCACAATGGCATAAAACTCAACATCATAAGTGGAATACCTCCTTCTAGCATCATTGAGTTTCTCACTAAAGTAAGCAACTGGACGGCCTTCTTGGCTAAGGACAGCTCCAATCCCAGCATGGGATGCATCACATTCAACTTCAAAGAGCTTGTTAAAATCAGGTAAAGCAAATACCGGAGCCTTCGTCATCCTCATCTTTAGCTCTTAGAATTTTTTCTCAGCTGCAGGAGTCCAAGTAAACTCACCTCCTTTCAAGCATTCAGTAATGGGTGCCACAATAGTGCTGAAATTCTTTATAAACCAATGATAAAATGTTGCTAGCCCATGGAAACTATGAATTCCAGTTAAGGTCTTTGGTGTTGGCCACTCTTGAATAGCTTGAACTTTTGTTGATCCACCTCA